AAGATTGCTACAAAGTTGCGACACTTGACTGAGCCAGAGTGGCAGCCTCCCGAGCCAAAAGCCACAAAAGCAAAGTGCAAAGCCAAGGCAGGCCGAAAACAAAAAGACAAGGGCAAAGCCAGCCCTGCCAAGCTTGACGGTGACAACCAGCCAAAACGGGAAAACAAACCAACTGCGTACGCCTTGCTCAAGAAGAAGTTTTTGGAGCCTATGCAGATTTACTCTCGTGCCACCCAAGAGCAAAGGCGGGGTTACATTCCTTCAGCCATGCGCTTTGCCTCAAAGCCCCTTCTCAGGTGGAAGGAGTCCAAGGAGCGTGCGGAGTTTATTTCGGGGTTAACGCAGGCGGAAATCAAGCGCCGGCGTTACTAGGCTAGGGGAATTGCCTTAGATTCTGCTTGCTTGACAGCGCAACGCAATGGGGAAAATGTCATTCCGTAGTGCCGTGGCACGCGCGTGCATTGTCTTCCTGCTCCAGTTGATGTTGATCGTGAACCTGTCACTTGCTTGCTTTCAAGGCGCGTTTGCTGAATCCCAGACTTAGGACCTACACAACCAAAGCCTGGACATGTGCGCAAGCGCACTTTGGGTTGGATACAGTTTGAAGGGAACACAGAGTTGGCGACATAGCCTGTGCGAAGCCATGAAATATTCATTGCTGGCGCCCATCCTGGCTTGCTTGGTGGCGAGTTTCCTGGCTACTTTTCAGGTGCCTCAACATGAGAGGCACGCGTTGAACCAAGGTGTGGGCGAGGTGGACCCAGCCCATGAGCTTGACTTTGTGGAGCTCTTTGCAGGCTTGAAGGGGGGTGGTTGTGACCAAAACTCAAACCAAACAAAACTGTCAGTCTCATTTGAAAAGTCTTTGAACAACTGGTCCTTTTTTCTTCCCAACCCTGATTTGGGGCATATGCGCAACAAAAAACGCCCCCCAAGGGCGGCTCCTTTGGGTGGACCCTGAACCCCCCCCCCCTTTGTGGTCACACCCCATGAGGGTGGACCCTGAACCCCCCCCCCTTTCTGGTCCACGTTTCGGTTCTGGTCCACGCCCCAAAATTGGGAACAAATGAACTTGCCTTGGAATCTGCGGTCAGGGCGCCACGTGGTGACCAGCGCTGTGAATCTGGCAGGCCTCAGGGCCAGAGCGGTGGATGTGGAGTACTCTGCCAAAATGAATTTGGCTGGAACTTTTGGATTTCTACTTGGGTTGAACCTTGTCCGGCGGATCAGACCACAAGGAGTCCTTTGGATTGCTGCGCCGTGCAGCTCATGGATTTTTTTGAGCCGAGCAACAACGAAGAGATCGCCCCTGCGAATCAAAGGGACACGCCGATTCACAAAGGTGATTGAGGCAAACCGCCTGATCAAACGCGTCACATATTTGCCAGAGCCTGAGTGGCCAACAGTGCAATTGCTTGCTGTCTTTCGAACCGGCCTCCCTCAACTGTTTGAGGATCCCTGTCTTGGAACCGTGTTTGCAGGGCTCATGGGTTTTGTTTCGAAGATCCCAAAAAGTCCGTGAGCCAGGGTGGTCGAAAGTTGCAACTACTGCTGTGAGGATCAAATATGCGATCGCCAAAAACATCTACTTTGTCCTGGAAAATCCGCCTACGAGCCTGGTGTTCCGCATCCCCGCCTTGAAGGACTCCAGAGGTTGTTGAGCTGCAGTTGTTGAGCCTCAACCAAAGGCTTCGTTTGGTTGGGGGGGAGAGGGCAACTCAAAGGATTTTGTTTGGGACTCAACGAAAGGCTTTGTTTCGTTGGGGGCCTGATTGGTTGGGGGCTTGGTTTGGTAGGAAAGGAGCATCAACCTGGTTCAGCTGGAACGATTGGTTGGGAGCCTCAACCAAACACCTTGGGGAAAACCTCAACGGCTTGGTTCAGGGAGAGCCTCAAAAAATGGTGGGGGGAGAGGCTTTTGGTTGGGGGAGCCTTGGCTTGGTTTGGTTGGGGAGAACCTCAACTGGTCAGCCTCAAAAATGGTTGGGGGAGAGGCTTGGTTTGGTTGAGCCTCAACCTGGTTTGGGGGGGAGCCTCAACCTGGTTTGCTTTAAAGAGAGCCTGAGCCTCAACAAATGGCTTGGTTTGGTTGGGGGATCAAAAAAGTAGGTTTCAAGTTTGGGGCATTGACGGTTGCCGCCAGGCTCTCTTCAAGCAGGCCAACGCGAAGGGAGTGTGCCTGAGCTTGGGCGCAATGGGGGCAACCTCTCTCAAGCGGGTTACCTTGTGGGGCAATGCCCCATGGCTTGCGCAGCTGCCAGTGCCTATGACAGAGGTCAGGAGGCCTGCTTTTGACAATTGTGATTGATGAAAGTCTTCAAGGGTTTGCCTCAGTTAAGATGTGGCTTGGCGCAGGTGGGAACTCTCAAAGCTTGCCAGCTCGCTCAACATACAGGTTACAAAGACATGCGTGGGCTCTGATGGCAAGGCCAAGGTTGTCAGCCCCCAAGCTTGTTTGCTTCTTTGAACAAACGGTGTGACGAGCGTTCCTGGAGTGACTGGACCAAGGCTGGTGGAAAGGACTTGCGTGCTACGCAGTGTTATCCTGCTGGCTTGGGCCTAGCAGCGGTTTGGGTGCATTTAGCAAGCAAGCTGAACCATGTGCAGAAGTGCAACCTAGGGAAGCGTACTTCGTTGCGTGACTCTGAAACCCCACCCAGGTCGCTCGCCTTCTCAAGGAGGATTTGGACAAAGCTCCGCCGCAAAGAGTTGCTCCTGACGTGGGGCTGAGCTTTCAGGATGAAAGCGGGTCTGAGTCTGAGACAGGCCTTGAAGACCTGGTAGTTTGTGAGCCACCCTGAAAATCAAGGGGTCCTTTTTGGCTCTTCCTGTGTGCGGGTTGGCACGGAGGCCTGTTCGAACACCAAACATACTGCGCATGCAAGTTGTCACGTTGCCTGGTTGGGGGGGGGTGCACTAGCGTGTACTTCCGTGTACTTCCGTGTATCCAGCATCATTTTGACAAGGAATGCGTGTACTAGCGTGTACTAGCGTGTACCTGGGTGCACCTCCGTGTCGCAACAATCACAGCCTGTGTTCTTGCCCTACCTGCTGTGGGAGGAGTTCTGAGATGAACTCGCTGGGGTAAATATTGCAGCGTTGGAGTCAGGAATTTTGTGCGCAGGAAAACATGCCTCCGAAACATCTCATCTGTGAGGAAGTTTCGCGGTTTGGCGCTGAACGTTTTGAGCAGTGCTGTTCACGCAGGATTTTGGGTCGGTTTTGCTTAGACTTCTGTGTCGCGTTGCAATGGCTGGTGTGGAAGGTGAGACGCTTGGGGCGGAGAAGGGCGTGGGCAGCAAAGGCAAGCAAGGCAAGGAGGGCAAAGGCAAAGGCTGTGACGCAAACGCTAAAGGCAAACAGACCGGCAAGGGCAAACCGACTGGCAAGGGCAAGCAGCCTGGCAAGGGCAAGCAGCCTGGCAAGGGCAAACAGCCTGGCAAGGGCAAGCAGCCTGGCAAGGGCAAGCAAGCCAACCATGATGAGCACGAACAGCCTGGCGCAGATCCTGTCGACGCGCAGCATGGCAAGGGTGAGCAGCCTGGTGCAAACGCAGAGCAAACGGGCAAACCACCCAGCACGGACCCTGTCGACACGAAGTGTGGCAAGGGCGCAAACAAGGGCAAGCAGGCTGGCAAAGCCAGTAAGGGCAAGGGCAAAGGCAAGACACGGCTCCGCGCTGCAGACGACGTGGCGATGGTGGCTGTGGACGTTGCGCTGACAGAGACAGTTGAGGACACGCAAGTGGACTGGGTGGACGACCCGCTGTTGCTTAACCCAAAGCGCAGCTTTCCTGACATGGACTGGTCTTACGTGCGAGAAGACGTGGCTAGGCAGCGCATCAAGGCTATCAAGGCGTGCGACTGGTGGGATCACTTCCTGCAACAGTGCAACGCAACAGACGACGAGGGTGCGGAACACTTCGGGGTAGGGGACTTTCCTGACTGCGCAGAGGACCTCACGCTTTGGGATGAATACTTGCAGAACCACCGCGCTATCGAGGTGGAGCAGTTTGACAAGCAGAGCACGCCGCAGAAAAGTGAGGCGCCGACAGAGACCGAGACTGGAAGCAGCGCGGACAGCAAGCGCTAGCCTCAACCTGTTATGTTTTCATGGGTTGCTCCGCAATTTTCAACGGCTCTAGCATTCTTGGTTTGTCGCCTGAGGTGCTTGGAACGGGGACGTACTACTACATCCTTGATTTCTGATGGTTCCGGAGCAGTTCCCGTCAAGCCGGTTGCAACGGTTGATGAGCTACGGGCGGACTCAGCGAGTCGGGGCCTTACACGCATGATGCAAAGGAGCGAGGGGTTGCAAACACTTTGCGTGGCGCGTAGGTGACACAGTTGAGCCCCGAAGTGCGGCAGAAGATCGAGGCCTGAACCAGTGCTTGATGGTGTAAAGCCAACATGCTTTAACTTCCAGCAAACTCATGCGTGCTGCAGGCCTACAGCCAGCCATCTGACATGGATCCCGCAGAACGCAAACGCCAGCACGCAGCGCTCGACAGGCGCATGAAGGCGGCCGATGGCCAGAAACTTAAAAGGGCCTCCCCTTAAGGCAGCCTTTCAAGGGGCAACCGGGCCAAGCTTTTCCAAACAAGCGTTTGAGGCCTCAAGCCTGGGCTTCTGGAAAAATATCGCGCAGCTTGCGGCAAACCAGCCGAGAAGTGCTCTGGTGGCATATTGGCAAGAACATGTCTGGTGTTGTTTGGGATGCCCCCTTGCTCTTGCTATGCTCTACCATGAAACAACTTAGGTTCAAGCTTTTGAAAGCATTTATGCTGGACCGCGACCTGAGCGATGTGGTGATCGAACCCCACTACGTAGAGCGCCTCATTCTGCATTTCAAACTCCGCACCATGTTGGTGTTTGGGAACAGCAGGGTTACAGGTCCCCATTTTGCTTGAAAAGAATGCTAGGCCCTTGACTAAGTGCGCAACTTGGCCTACTTTTCGACCTGAGGCTCAGTCCAATTCTCAAACAAAAAGTTCCACTGTGATGTGGTTTCTTCGATGGTCAGCGCGCGCGAGGCTGTCGCAGCGCAAAGAGAGCGACGTCTACGACCGGGTGTCCTTGGCACAGTTGAGGCGCGAGTACACCTCCGACACGGAGAAGGCTTTCCTGGAGAACTTGATTGCCAGCAGTGGCCCTAGAAGTTGTCAGAGTGCAGGGATCCCTTTGCACCCTCTTTGTTCCCATCAAAATCGAAAGAAGAAGCCCAAACGAAGAAAGACGAGGGTTCCACAAATCTTGCCAAGCTCAAATCTGAGTTCCAACACACCCAAGGAGGCGACCTTTTGTTTGGGCGATGATGCGAAGTGCTTTCAACTGCGGCCACTTAGTAAACAACCCCAAGAGAGTACAAAATAACTTTGAGTGGCCCCGAGTAAATGCGAGAGCTCTGCCCCACGGTTTGCTACGCTTCTCAAAGTGAACATGGTTCTAAGGTCAGGAGGGTGTGCCGCACCCGCAAGCGCCGGACGACCCTGAGATGCGGTTGTACCGGGTGTTCAGGCGATTCAGGGAGGAGAGTGCCCTGGCAGCCAATGCCCAAACACCTAGCTCGCCTTTATTTGGGCACCTTTTGCAACCATCCTCTGCGCAACATGACATCTAGGTGTTGGACCTTGCTACAAGTGATTTTGCCCCCTTTAGGTTCAGACATCAAGGAGGTCGGCGTCCGAACGTCTGCGCGTGGGGCTGTGCCACAAAGTGAAGCTGCCAGGGCAGCGGTGCAGGAGGTGCTTGATAGCAAAATGGTGGGCTTCGATGCGGATGAGTCCAACACAGGCCCTCCTTCAAAGAAGAGGAAGGCCAAGGCCAAGGCGAAGAGCAAGTCGACCACGAGCAATGCGTCCTCCGGGCGCTCTGCAGAGGAGCAAGCAAAGAAAGACTTCGATTCGGCCCTTTCTGCGACCCTTGATGGCATCCTTGAACCTGTAAAGAAAAACACAGTTACCGCCGAAAGGCTTTTTTGATGTGCTGTTTTTGACGGGGGCCAAGCCAAAACCAACCACGTAAACTCTCAACCTTTTTCCTGTCATTACGGGTGGATCGACCGGCCCTCTTAAGACAGTGTTTTTCAATGTGGAGCTGATGTTGGAAACTCAGGTGTGGGAAGCTCTGCGAGAAAACCCGAAGCATGGCCCACAAGCTGGCCACCTGTGGCTTGAGGAACCAGGAGGCAGAAGAACAAGTTGCTTTTGGCAAAAACAGGGGCAGACGTTTCTAGGCTTGTACGATGGATGGCCAATGCGAATTTCAACTGATGTTTCCCTGGAGGCTGCTGTGGCTTCGTTGGGCCACACCTTTGAGAGGCTGAATGGAATCATTTGCGAGCGTCTTGTTTGCAGTGAGTGTGAAACTTGAAACTTTTTGTCGAGGGTGAACTCATTGAATTGAAACTTGAAACCCAGCAGCAATTCCAGCTGTTCTGAGGGTGAACTCTGCAATCTTCCAAGCGAAGCCCTTTGAAGAGTACTCCAAGCTGTTTGACGGGCACAAGACCGCCATTGAGGCGCAGGGTCTGAGACAACACACTAGGGTGATGTTGAGGTGCTGTTGAGGTGCAATTCCCAAAGCAATTGTGGCAGGCTGCAGTGCACGAAGTTCAAGAAGCTGAAGTCATCTCGAACGCCCACACCCGCCGAACCTTGTTTGCACCACACCTCACTCTTTCAAGGGAGGAGGGCCACTTTGCAAACTTTGAGAACTATAAAGGGTGCATCGTTACCCCAAATATCTGACACGTCCCGCCCCTTGCGCGAGGACTGGAGGCCCAGAAGCGCAAGGCCGACAAGGCCGCTGAGAAGGCTTCGAAAAAGTCTAGAGGATGTTGATCGCAATCTTAGAGGGTTTTTGGCAAATTACGATGTAATTGCCTACCGGGGCGCTGATCGATCCGCCTGTTCATGGGGTAGCGAGTGGCTGCTGACTTTAGAACACAACTTAGCGTGCAACTCTACACACACTTTCTGAATGACACCTCTGACTGCACGCTGAGATGTGCCAGTAGCATCTCACTCTGAGGCTTGGTCTGAAGCTCAAAAATGAAAAAGAATGCGCGTCATTCCCTAACTTCAGTTTGAACCAGGCTTGTTTTGATTGGCATCGACCCTGACATCTATGCATGCTCAAGATGAGGCCATGGCCTACTTGGGGCCATGGCCTACTTGGGGCCACGGCCTGCTGGGGCTACGGGGCGCCACACTTTCGAAACAAAAAAAATCAGGAACACCCTCTGAATTGCTTGTGGATACGGGGCTCAAAAAAATCCTGAAACTGCCTTCGAAAAGGAAAATCCAGGAACACCCTCTGAATTGCAACAGGGCACATATATGGCAACTCTCTTGTTTTGATCAGCAAACATGTCTGGTGTCGCCGATGTGGTCAACAGCCTGGTGTCGGAAGTCCTGGATATGCTGGGCAAGGGTGAGGCGTGGGCACCGCCATTGCCGTGCGTGTTTCCTGCCCTACCCTGCTAGATCACCCTGGAGCGATTGAAGAATATTCTGACCAAGCTTCGGGGCATGCCTTCTGTTTTGGTCCCGAGCCTTTGCTCCCCTCATGCATCAGTGGCTTAATCCGCAAGTTCCCAAGCTACAGCCAAGGAACAGCATATTGGATCTGGCAAACCGAATTCATGGAAAAAGAACTTCTTGGAGCATTGGTTATCCCCTGGAACAATGGACGAAGAGGCAGCCCTGGAGAGACTTGGCATATTCTATTGTTGGTAGGGTTTTTTTGTTGCTTCTGAACCTGTGTTGAGCCATCGCTGTGCCGAGGATCGTTGATGCCACAGAGCTTTCGGATCCGCCTGCCGTGTGACCCTTGCCAACCTCAATCGCCGATGCCCGAAAGATTTTCTTGGAGGGCTGATGTAGTTTAAGTTTAAGGGTTCATGCTTGAAGGAAACGCGAAACCCGCCCAAGGAATACCCTGATGATCAATCGCGCTATGCCCGGCGAGAACACATAGACCAACATGTGCTACTTCCCCATGAAACTGTCGGGGCGCTCTTCCGCTTTCCGGATGTGTTTCGGGAGATTGTGTCGGGGCCTCCTGGCGTGTCTTGGCAACGGTTCCACCACAGCTGAAAGCTTCCAGGTCTTGGATCTAGCTGAGGCAATTGAAGAGTATTGGAAAGAGAATGAACATCTTCCATGGTACAGGGAACATCCAATTTTGCGCGCCCTTTGGTTTGCAACTTGCTTATTTACAACGCAATGCTTTCGAGCCAAGTTGAACTCCCCTGGTCAAGGCTACTGCTGGCCGAAGCCGAGTGATCCCTCTCAGATTTTACGGGGACGGGGCCGAAGCAAGGAGCGCCTCTGGCTTGTTTGAGTGGCTATTTGGCTTTGTGACGTTTGTTCTTGGCTGGTCCGCGTTGTTGAATAAGGACGGCAACATTATGAAGTGATGAGCTTATTGACTGTGGTGAGTGGAAAATCCAGCACTATAGACACAAGACTTTTGAACTTTAGCTGGCATTGTGTGTGTGATCGGGTGGGGGGACCTACTGAAATGGCCGAGCGAACCAAGGATCACATGTTTGAACACATCCTATTGCGGGTCCAGCGCTCGAAAGATTCTCTTGGAGCTGGTTGCGTGGAGCTTTCAGGCCTTGAGCGCCGCGCCTGAAGTACAAACTGGAAACGCTTTGGGAAAGAACGTGTCCTTGAGTTAACACTTTGTCTCTGAACATTTTGTCTCTGAAGAATTTGTTGCTCTTCGAGTAGCTCCCCAAGAATTCAAGTAGGGTGACTGGTGTCCGTCAATCATTTCCACAAAAATCAGGACGAATCGGCGATGACCAATTAGTCAGTTGAAAATGAGTATGTTTATGCACGGTTGTATTGAACTAGGATGACCCATGGCAAGATGGTTCAGTTCCCAGATGAACAAGCGACCAAATCAAGAGACAACTTTCTTCGTGCTTGCTTTCTCTAAACAATTAGGTTCCCTTTGAAGTTCTTTCTCAAGGGTCTTCCCGCTTTCATCTTTGGGAGCTGTTTGAGTTTGGAGACAAGCTGTCGTGCAAATCAAATTATTTGCCAAAAGTCATCCCATTTTCTGGGGGGAGCTGTCTGAAGTGCACCAGCTTTGACAAAGGAAAGAATCATTTGACAAGGGTCGCTACGCCTTTTCTAACCACCAGTTTGCCTGAAGATATGCCATCGCGCAATGACAAGTTCTTCTCAAGAACCTCATTTTTGGGGAGACGATTGAAGGACACTGATTTGTTGGGAGACTAAATTCGATATGACCGTCATGCATCTTTTGGGGCTTGTGCGACTAATTGGCCAACCAGTTTGTCTCAAAAACCTTCATACGCTTGTAGGACGCTTGTTTGTTGGGAAACGGCCATCAGGCAAAAAGGGTATCTTTGACAAGGGTCATGCTAGTTCAACATGACTGTCACGCATCTTTTGGGAATGGACAAAGGCTAACTGTCACGCAAAAAAAACGTTGGATTTTGGGGCGCCAATATTGAAGACAAACCATCGCACAACGATAAGTTCTTCTCAAAGAACCTTCAGGTTTGGGGAGATGCTGGAGGCATGCTTATTTGTTATTTGTTGGAGACCATCAGGCAAAAAGGATACCTGTGACAAGCGTCATGTTAGTTCAATGCGACCACTGGGACTTGTCAAGGATTTGGATTGGCGACGCAGAGCAGTTCGGCTGTTTCGTCAGAATCTACCCCCCTATGCACAACCAGGGAAAGTTTTATCTTCTTAGGAGTTGTTGGTGTCTTGTTACGTGAACTTTTTGTGGGGGGGGTGGTGTTTCTTTTCTTTGTTTGGCGTGTAGTGGGGGTGTCTTCGTGTTGGTTGCTTTTTTTTGATTCGTGGTGTGTTTTCCATTTTATTTTTTATTTTTTCGTTATGCGGGTGTTTTTTTTTTGTTGGGCTGTTTTTCTATCTTGCATTGTCTTTTTTGCGTTTTTCTTTTGTTTAGAGGAAAAAGGGCAGGAAGCGTGTGTGCACCGGCGTATGTTTTTTGCCTGCGCCGCGCGTGACTGCTAATCGCGCGCTGGCAATTCTTTGCGCGCACGGAGGTGCCGTTAACGTTTCGCTACTGGCATTGTTTGCGCGCGCGGACGTGCCGTTAACGTTTCGCTTGCCCAGTCATTCCCTGCACCCTGCGGTATTCAAGGCAAGGGCGTCTACTGGCAATTGTTTGCGCGCGCGGAGGTGCCGTTAACGTTTCGCTTGCCCACACGTTCCCTGCGCCCTGCGGTATCCAAGGCAACGGCGTCTACCCGAGCTGCGACCCGTATGGTGCGGAGTTCTCTGAGACTTATATGCCAGAGCGTTACAAGCTTGCAGGTTTGGCCCTCGCTGGCAACTACAAGTTTGTACTGGATGGAGTTCAGGCTGACCAGGACTATGTTAGGCTACTGTTTACGCTGGAACAGTTTTTTTCCAAGACTGAGTGTTGCGCGTACTGCAGCGCTACCTCACGCACTGTGCCTGGCGTTAGCAGCGAGATGCTCTACACAAACTTCAGCCCAGCGGCTCTGCACCAAACAACCTGCATTTCTTCCCGCGAAGAATGGATCAATGTGCACGGCGACAGCCCGCTCCTTTCAGTACCTGGCTTCTTACCACACCGGCGCATTTTTCCCGACTGGATGCACGTCACTGATCTGGCCATTGCTCCAGACCTGATTGGGTCACTCCTTCTTGACCTTACGGACAGCAAGAACACTTTCGCTGGAAACTCACCCCCCCCCCCCCCCCCCCCCCCCCTCCCCCCCTTTCGCTGGAAACTCACGCGAGCTACGCCTTAAGGCTGCTTTTGAGTCTTACCGCAGCTGGTGCAATTTGAATGATATTACAGACAGGTGTATGTCCCGCATGTTTAGCGCGGCCACACTAAAACCAGGTGTGGTTTTCCCTTACATCTCGCAGCGAACTATGTCTGGGACGGCGTGCAGGTTTGTCATTCAATGGCTGGCTGGTGTGATGCGGCAAGTCGCTTCTGCTGACCCCAGCTCGGAACGCATGCGCCTGTGTTAAATTTCTTGCTCAACGTTTGCTTTTCCTTTGGGTAGATTTGCGGTGTGGCTTGCGGCTAAATACAGTTTTGGTAGACTTTACACTCTTATCAGCAGAGTTTTTTTGCTTTCGCTGCGCAAATCCAAGGACCCAAGCGGGCACTGTCTGCGCAATGGCAAATATGGCGGAGATCATGGCCCGCAACACCAGGGTCCTGACTGAATCTGACATGCGTTTGTACAAAATGTGCGCGCTTGCAATGCGGTGCGGTTATATGAAGATGGCCGTTTCCGCGCACTCAAAGCGCCAACTTCGTTGGAAACTTAGACCTAAGTGGCATCAGCTTGCGTGTCACTTGGTGCCCCTGGCGCCGCTGAATCCGAGATATTTTGCGAATTACTTAGATGAAGATTATGTGCGCAGAATTAAGCAGTTGGCGGTGCGGCGCACTGCTGCGGGCATGAGCTCCGAGGTTTGCCAGCGATACTGCATTCAAGTTTGCCTTCGCTGGGCCTCACTGTATGGCAACGGAGTGCAGCTGTGAAAAGAATTGCTGAGAGCGCTTAGTTTAAGCAACGCAGGGCAGTAAATGCGTGGTTGAAGCTTCCTTTTTTTGGTTCTTGGGGTGGCAGCTGGCTAGTTGAGGAACATAAAGAATGCGTTTGCAGTTAATTCTGTATGTGTAGAAAATATGAAGTCTTTTTTTATATCTATATGTATGTATGTGAATGCGTATACATCAACAAATAAGTACACGCACATACACATATGTACACATATATATATATATGTATACACATATAAAAATAGTTGTATATTCAACCCCCCATGTTTCCCGCGGCAAGGACCTTTGTTGTTTCTTGCGTGAATGTTTTTCTGACATCTTGTTTTTGCTGATTTTCAATCTTGCCAGGGCTTGTGCTCCCAAACGTACTTTGACTCAAGTCAAGTAGAAAAAGGAAAGTCTTGAAGTTGCAGCAAATGTTGGTTGAAAGCAAACAAACAAATGTAACTCTTTGTTTGGCTCAAGTGCAGCAGTGCGCTCAGTCTGGCAGGCGTGCTCAGTGCTTAAGAAGGTCGCCAAGGTCGCCAAGGCTAAGTGTTCAAGCGCGTCGGCCAGCCTCTCAAGAGATTCCCAACAGTCAGCAAGAGCAGGATGTGTCTGTCTTGCAAGTGTTCGGCTGTGGCAAAGGCACCTAAAAAAGCACCCGGTGTCGAAATGCAAATCCGCACTGGTACTGCTATATTCGAATTTGCCAGCTGCGTTTTGTCGCTGGACGGCCCGCCCTGGGATGCGTACCCTTCTCCAACGCCTCCGGATTCACCTTGGTGAGGTTTTTCGCCCAATCCGGGACGTGTACCGGGCCCGGTCGTCGGACCCAGCGGCGCAAAGATACGGACCTCTCCGACCCGTTTGCTCATCATCCAGCGCAGGACCGAGAGCTGCACCTCCGGGTCCTTGGTGTCCAGGCCCACCGGGGTGGCGGACGGCTTGTCAGGGCCCTCGGCACCTCAGCTCGTCACGCCAGAGCCCGAGGCTGGGGGGATGGTGGGCGGCCTGTCAGGGCCCTCGGCACCTGGGCGCCAGAGCCCCCCGCCTTTGGCATGGGGATCCCTGTCAGGTCCGGCAGATCTGACAGGAGGGCCGCCGGGGAGTCCGTGAGGGATGTGAGGTCGTCCATACTGAAGTCCCTCCATGCCGTTGTCGGCTCGAAGACCCCAGTCTCAATGGCGACCCGGACCTCACTAGGCCACGCACTGAAGGGAGGCGCGATGGGCTCGAGCATTCTGGTTTCGAGGGAGCCCTTTGCCTGTCTGGCTTGGTGTTTCGCTTTCGCCTCTTCCGCAGTCGTCTGGGCCTGGAGGAGCTCCGGTGTGGGTCTCCCCCAGTCCGCACCCAGCTTGTCCAGCAGCTTCTCACGGAAGAGGTCCAAGTCCAGGTTCTTCAGGAGCAGGCCTCCATCACCTCCTCCGTCAATGGCCCCCCCTTGAAGTTTGTGGAGGACCGCCGCGGCACCGCTTCCACCTGGTCCGCCTTCTTGGCCTCCTCCTGGGCGATGGTGGTGGCGTTGAGCCGGGTCTGAATCTTGAAGGCCTTCACCGCAGACGGGTGGAAGGCTCTGCATTCCTGGCCCTCTTCCTTGTCGCCTGGCAATGGGGGCCTCTCCCCCGGTGGGGCCGTCAGAAACTCCTCGTCCAGCTCCATGCAGTTCCTGATCACCGCCCGGACCGAGGAGGGGACGAAGTCCGAGAAGCTGGCCTGGTCCGGGTTCTCGCAGGCCATCGGGTCGGTGGCCAGCTCGCTGACGTCCACCGAGGCACTGAGCTTGAGGTCGCGGGCCCGGTCCGTGTCAGGGCCTTTGGCACCCGCGGACCGGGCCGCCGTCCAGACCGCATTGCCCTGGTCATCCACCGTCAACTGCCAATGCGTGCCCGCCATCTCCAGGGTGGCCGAGTTGGTCGCCGTGTCAATGGGCTCCGTCTTCTTGCCACACCCCATGCACTTCGTGGCGCCCTTCTTCACCCAGGGCATGGTGCAGCAGGGGCAGATCCAGGATGTGGGCACCTTGCCCAGGGGCGGTTCTCCAGGCCCCCGTACCCCAAGCCAGCGCGCTTGCCAACCTGCTGTCCCGGGGTGCTGAGCCGGGCCTCATGCTCGTACTTCATCTTGGCGATGTAGAAGGCCTCCACAACGCGCTCCAGGCCCCCCCGCTTGAGTTGGGGGCCCTCAAAGCCCCGCAGGAGCCGCTGGACGTTGGCCTGCAGTCAGCGCAGCCTAGTGGCCGTGGTCGCATCGAAGCAAGGGAAGTCGCCCGCCATCTGCTCGTCGCTGAACTGGTAGAGGCCCTCCGAGACCTTGAGGGCCTTGGTGAACACGCTCCCCCCCGGCGGGGGGGCTGCGGGGTTCTCATCCTCCTCCGAGGACGCCTGCTCCTTGACCTTCGCCATCAGCTCCCGGCGCCTCTGCCACTTGGCGTCTGCCCGGGCATCCAGGCGGGCCTCCTCCAAGCGGGCTGCAGCCGAGGGGGACCTGGGCATCGGCAGCTCCTTCTCGTCCTTTGCCAGGAGCTCCTCCATGGGCACGTCCTCCTCCGGCGGGTTCAGGAGCTCCAGGAACGCCCCTGGGGGGCGTGTCAGGGCCTTCGGCACCTGCGCCACCCCAGGGGCTGCATCTTCCATCGGATCATCCTCTGCCTTGCGCTTGGCCGGGATAAGGGGGGCCTGCTCCAGCTCATCTGCGCTGGAGAAGAAACGCTCGTCAGGTGCCTGAGGGACCTCAGCAGCCAAAACGGTCCATCCTTCTTCCTCCCTCTTCACGAGGTTCGCCAGGTACTTTGCCATGGAGGCCTTTGCCTTAGCCTTGGCCTCTGCTACCGCGGCACCAGCGTAGGCGGGGGCGTACATGGCTTTGAGAGTAGGGGAAAGAAAGATTTCAAATCACAAGACAAAAGATCAAAAGGTCCACTTGAGCCAAAATGGTGGCCCAAGTGGATACTTATTAAGAGTCAAGACAAGCGACCACCTGCGGTTAACGCTTTAGCCCAACGTTGTCGGGTTCCCTTCTTAGGGAGCCTTGACTTTGAGAACCAAAGGGGCGGGCCCCTTTTCCCATTTGAGGCTGAAGGCGCGAGGTTTGCAAGCGCTCCGCGCAAAAAAGTAGACGAAGCCGGGCGGCTGTTTGGCTCTGGCTGTGTTCCACTTCGGCTTCGCGGCGCGCGGCCTTCGATGGAGCTGCGCCGCGGGTGGCTCGAGCCTCAGTCTGCGTGTCGGACTGGCTCTACAGTCGACCCCCCGCGTTGCCCAAGGCCGTCCGTCGACTGCGCTCGATTTCGAAAAAACCGGCTGTGGAGGATGGCGGCCACTGCGATAACCCGGTCGGGGAGCGTTCTTTCGAGAACCTCTTCGGCGTGTCCGCCGTTGTCAGGAAGGCGGGGTCATCCGAGGAAACAGCCGTCAGGCGCCCATCCGCGCCTTGGGCCGGGGTTAACAGCCTTGGTCGAAGCCTTCCAGACCTTTGCCGGGGAAGCTTCTCTGGCGATGTCCCAGCGGCAGAGGACCCAGAGAAGCAGAGGCGAAGAGCTGCGGGCAGGCGTGGCTTGGCCGAAGCCACGTTTCAGCGACCGACTTGCAGGAGCAAGGGGAGAGCGCTTGCGCTCAGCGAACTTTGCGACTGCGTCTTGGCGCTGGAACGCAAGCTGCGGGGGGAGGGCCTGGGTGCCTCAGTGAACCTTGCAGCCGAGCCAACGGACGAACGTTTCGACGACGAGCGCCGCCGCGTCACGTGAGAACGCGCGCGCCGGCCAAGAGAAAGCGGGCCGCGCTGCGTCAAGAAGCGTCTCCAGAGCAACGGCGCTCTTTCGGTCGCGCGGGGCGACGTCGAGCGCGGCGAGGAACGTGCTTAATCGAGCTTGAGCGTCCCGGAGAAAGAAAAAAACAAGGCCGCCTTGCTTGAAACTTTAAGCCCAGTAAGCCAGGGCGACCGCTGGTTCCATTGTTCCAAGCTGCGTTATTCGCAGCTGTTCGCAGTTCAAACCTTGCATTGGCACGCTTTGCGACATGACTTCGGAGCCGTCGCAGCCTTAAACGTTGCGAGCCTTTCCTTGGTCGCTCGGGCCGTTCTCCACTCAGGCTCGCGGATCTTACGTCGTGCCCGGCAAAGGTCTTGCTGTGCGATTTGTTTTTCAAAATCTCAGTGGAAGGGTGGGCCGAGTTCGACGCCGTTTTCTTCAGCTTGGGAGGCGCGGACTGTTCAAGACAGACGTCCAAGACTCTTGTAGTTTTTTCAACGCCAGGAGAGCGTGTGCTGACCCAAACGCACGGCGACTACCGACACTGGGGCTGGCCAGTGAGCTGGGACGAAGTTGTGTATTTTGCGCGCAAGAAGTTGGGCGGGCTTGTGCAAGTTTTGTTGGTTGGCAGAACAAAGCGGCTGCCAACCAACGCTCTCCTTTTAGATCCGTCGTGGCACAAAACCCGCCGGGCGCGCGAGAAGATGTCCCAGCTGCAGCACGTGCAACGCTGCTTCGAAGCGAATTTGGCGGCGCTGAAGCGCGACGAGCTGCCACAAGTTTCACCCTTTGAGCCCATGATCGACGAATAGCGAAAGAACGGAGAGGGAGAAAACACACAAGTGACAAAGTTTGGAAACGCTTGGCGGGCCAAACGATTCTGCAGCATTTGAGAACGCGCGCGACGTCTCGCGCCGCTGCCCTGCAAGGCCTTAAGACTGCGCCTTGGATTGCCTCTCGGGCGTGCCTTGGCTTGGACGCGCCTTGGACTGCCTCTTGAGCGCGCCTTGGCCTGCTCCTTGGGTCGCTTTGGGGGAACAGGGGCGGACCCGGGGAGAGTCAAGCCTGGTGCCTTTTTCAAGGGGGGTCGTTTTGCGCCCTCTGCAGGGAGCCTTAACTGCGCCTTCTAAAGCGAGGGGGCGTGTAATTGGGCGGGCGAGCCCGCCTTGGATTGCCTCTTGGATGCGCCTTGGGTTGCTCCTTGGATAAGCCTGCCAGTCGCCGCCTTAGCTTGTCGGCGCCCCGCGACGCGCCT